TTGTTGTTGTTGTTGTTGTTGTTGTTGTTGTTGTTGTTGTTGTTGTTTGTTGTGTGTTTGCAGTTGTGTTGAGGTCCGGTAGTGCCCACTGCGATCTGGCACTCGCTGTTGAGGTCGGGTAGTAGTTGGTTGAGGTCCGGTAGTGCCCACGGAGGAGGAGCGGAGGAGAAGAAGGAGGGGAGCGAACCACGGTAAAAATCTAACAACCCTCCTGACAGGCGGGGAAAAACATTGACAAAACTTTGGGCTTGAGTGTCAGAACAGCGCGCTGAAGCAAACAACAAAATTGGTGTGGAATCTGGTTGATATTTTTTGCATTTTTGCTACTCAGCGCGTCAACTAGCTTCACTTGACTTCAAGAACAATACATGACGCCTAGACCTAGCCGCTAACACTCGTCTCCTTTTTTTGTTTGGTCGCTTGTTTCAAGGTTGGTGGCGGCGAAGCAGTGCACAATCAACCGCATGCTCCTGGTGTGGGCGGGCTTTGCACCCAAGAGGACAGAATTTGTGTCTCTTATCATTTTGGGGGCCCGTTTTGCGCTCGCCCTTACTTAATTGAGTAGATGGCTGCTACTAGGTGGCTACTTAATTAAGTAATGGCCAAGCAAATTAACAACGATCTACTGGACGCAGAGAATTCACGCTTCTTCAAGGAAACTCTTTTCCCCTAGCCTGGGAGCGGGAGCTTCCTTTAAAAAACACTCGGAGTATGAGCGTAGGCAACTATTTTTTAAAGGTGCGCCCAGCAAGTCATTGCACTTACTGTAATTGTTGGGATCATTTAACAACTCCTCGCAGATCCACTGGAAGTGGTATGTGGTGGCATGGACTCATGGATTTGATTGATGTTGCATTCGCTTCGAATTAAAGGTACCTGGCTCACGTGCTCACGTACAAGCACTTCCGCCTATGGGGTACAAGCATAAGATGCGTGCTCGTGTCTACGTTTCTCTAGTGTTTCGGCTTCAGTATCCTGGCGCGTGAATTGCGCTGACTGAGTGCGGCCTATTCCAGCGCTCTCCGTGCATTGCGTGTCGGACGGTCCATAGAATCAGAGATCTTGTGCGCGGAGCTTCTATTTCGGGACAGGAAACTGTACTATTCGGACAGCGGCGGACAGCGGCGGGGGGGGTGCTCCAGGATTTAGCTGAGTTGGCAGCGGGAGCGCGCGCGCGCAAGAAAGAGCCCTTGGGACTCTTCGCTTGGCGGCTGGTGAGGAGGCGAATGAGGGTGAGGCTGTTGAGAAGAAGAAGAAGAAGAAGAAGAAACATGGGCGCAAGGAGGGGAAGAAAGCAAAGAGGAAGAAGGTCGACCCACCATCCAGCGCAGAGGGCACTGTAGGGGAGGTTGCAGAGGAGGAGTCAGAGGTTGAGTGGACAAAGGAATTGGTGGCCAATCGGCCTCAAGTGCTGGGCTCACCCCGCCGACAAAAGGCTCTCTTGCTAGGCGTTTCAGCAACATCCCAGTTCCACCACCTGCTCCCCCAGGCGGCCAGTGGAACCAGATCACCCACCACCTGCTAGGTTCGTCGCAAGGGTGTTCACCGGGCTCACGGGTGTGTCCATCCGGTTAGAGGACAGAAGCGGCGAGACTCTGTGCAAGGTAGAATCTCTTTCTCATAGAGATAGCGTTCGAAAAAGTCAGAAGGATATTTTCTGGCTTGATCTTTACTCCTGCGTCTTGATATGGGATCTCCTGGAGAGGAAATAGAATGTAGTGAGGAACCTTCGAGTTGCATGTGTGTGCCCCGTTTTTGGGGCTACAGGGCCATTAGCCGGATTAAAAAAGCAACTCGCGCAGTCTTGTCTTGCATGGTCACACACCCACTACTCTGTACCATGTCAGGGACCCGGTTCCGCTGCGCTGCGCTGCGCTGGCTTTCGTCCCCTCCCTTCTCAGGCGTAATATATATATGTACACATAGTAAATAATATATGTCAGATATAAATATAGAATATTACGAAAGCCAGCCGATAGGCTAGGCTTGAGCTCTTGGAGCGAACGAAGTGAGTTACGGGGGTGTGGGGGGGGGGGCGCGAAAAGGCAACATTTGAGAGGGTGAACCCGGAGCTTGGTGGGGGAGAGTGCTCCAAAGCGAGGGTCAGAAAAGCAGTGTGAAGGGGTCTGGAGACAATTTTTCTAGTCCTGAGCAGGGCATAGGGAATGTGTAGCTCTGATCATACCAAGAAGGACCAAGCGACAAAGAGTGAACGCTCTGGGAGCGAACGACGTGAGCGTGTCCAGTTGGGCGAGGTAGAGGCTTGGGGATAAGAGCGCCGCAAGAGGAGAAGCAAGAAAGCTGCAAGCGTTCAACGCTTCATGCTGTGCTCCGATCTTGATCTCAGTCGCAGTGATACCAGCTCCACGAAACTACAAGCTTTCAACTATAGGTGCTCTGCTATTTGTTCATCCCAGCCCTGCTCTCTCTATAGGGCTTCGCATTGATGCACGATACCCGAAACACAGTTCAACGCAACCACAAAAACCATTTCGGGCATCATTCTCCTGGTGTTCACTGACGCTTATTTTTGCATGGATTCTCAAATAGAACACCAACAAGGGACGCTCCAGAAGGCGCCGCACCAAGCAAATCAAGAAGACTAAAACATTCAACACTTCATGCTGTGCCCCGATCTTCATCTACGTCGCAGTGATACCAGCTCCACGAAAGCTACAGGCGTTCAACAATAAGTGCTCCGCCATTTTTTCCTCCCAGTCTTGCGCTACCATATTGGTCTCTCGCTGGCTTTCGATCTCCTTTCTCAGGTATATATACATATCTGGGGTGCGCAGACCCTGACCTTCCAATGTCTGTGTGTGGCGCGGTCGTTGGTCAAAACTTGCCGAAAAAAACGTCGGTGAGCCAAAAAAACGTCGACCACGCCGTTTTTTAGACGACCCCTGTTTTTTTAACGTCGGGCGCGCCGAAAAAACGTCGTTGTCCATTTTTTGGCGTGTACACTTTTTTAGGCTGGCCCTAGCTATATGATATGGATAGCTATATCTCTGGGCTTTCTGCGCGCGTTTTCCTAGCATGCGCCTTGCCGCGTGTCTAAATTTTTTAGGCCGGAGCCCAAAAAGCGTACGTTTTTGCCTCTCTCCTCAAATTATTCGCTTTCTCTAGATCAATTTGCTTTCATTCCTTTTCTTTTTCCCTTTCCGGGTGCATTTTGTTCTGCCGGAACCAAAAAAGCGTACGCTTTTTGCCTTTCTCCTCAAATTATTCCCTTTCTCTAGGCTCTCGTTCCTTTTCTTTTTCCCTTCCACGTACCTTTTGTTCTGCCGGAACCAAAAAAGCGTACGCTTTTTGCATTTCTCCTTCAAATTTTATTTTTCTCTAGACAGATTTGCTCTCATTCTTTTCTTTTCTCCTTTCCGGCTACAATTTTGTTCGGCCGGAACCAAAAAAGCGTACGCTTTTTGCTGATGATCATGAGTTCCCTTAATTTTTACTTTTCTGGCCCTGCCGGAACCCAAAAAGCGTATGCTTTTTCCGCGCGTTTTATCAAAAACGCACGTTTTTTGCAAAATTTGATTAAAAGAAAGTATATCGCACGAGCACGAAAACCTAGAGCTTGCCAAAATACCGTCGACCCCTGCCAAAATACCGTCGACCCCTGCCAAAATACCGTCGACCCCTGCCAAAATACCGTCGAGCAACGTGAACAAAAAACCTAAAAAAATTAAAAAATTGATTGAAAAACCATTGTTTACATATATATGCCTTACAAATATCTTTATATGAAGCAGTGTGGAGCTGAGTGGACAACCCCCAGGCACGTCCAGTTGGGCCTCCTCCACCCTGATCAGAAGTCACGTGAGTTGGCCAGTCCCTGCAAGGCCATTCCCGGCATTGCAGCCTTGAGAAGTCAAAGCACAAGCCCCGTGACCAGTGCACTTGGTCGGTACCCCTTTGAGCCAAGCAAGTCACGACAACAAAAGGTTCAAACATGAGTGTTTGCCAATCATCGTAGTAGAAATTGGCCAGAAAGCTGGACAAAGGTATAACCATTTAAAGCTTGTCAAGCATTTATAGTGTATGGTGCTGAATCGTAATACATGGTAATTCATCTCCAGACCAAAATAGCTCCAATCCAACATGAAAGCAAGATCCGTGTTCAATTTTCCTTCCCTCATAGTTTGCAGAATTCACCCTGAAAAGCGCCCTTGCCAAAATACGGTCAACCCCCGCCAAATTACGGTCAACCCCTGCCAAAATACGGTCAACCCCTGCCAAAATACCGTCAATCAATTTCACAGCCAGTGTGATCTTTTTTTTTCCTTTTTTGGTTGCGGAGGCAAAAAGCCAAAAAAGCGACGATGGCCAAAAAAACGTCGACCACGCCAAAAAAAGTCGACCAAGCCAAAAAATGATCGACTGTGACTGACGTGGTCGTTTGAAGGTCAGGGAGATTGAATAACGTAGAGAACCACATAATTCCAATATTATTGATCAGTGAATCAGGGAGGGGTGCGCGGCGCATATGGGTTATTAATATTTAGATATCACATCCGGCAATGCGACGGTGGTAAGCTGTGGCTGCAAGCTTCCCGACCCTTGAATGGAAAAGGCCAAGTATCAAATGATAATTCGTGGGGAATTTCAAGTCGTCAAACTTTTACACTTTCACAAGTGGCTGAACATTGTGGTCAGAGTCAGTGTCTAGACCCTTTGAGCAGTGTGCCTGCAGGAGGAAGCCTACCAGGGGCACCTTGGCAAATCAGTCTTGCAAGTTCGCAGACATGGCGCGCGTTGATTTTCTATTGGGCTGGATGCTGGGTTGCTGGTTGGCCCGCCCTTGTGACGCCATTTAACCCGTCCCGGCTTTGACTCACGCGCAACTTGGACTCCAAGGAAGAATAACGAGGTAAGAACATGTGTAATGCCAAGACCGAATTAATGACCCCCCCCCACATGGTAGGTCAACAAGGTCAACAAGGTCTGAGATACCACTCATGAGGTCCACCCCCCCTGAATTATCGGTCAAGGGAGCCATCGTAGTCGCAGTCGTCGTCGGTAGTAGGTAGTAGGTAGTAGATAGGAGTAGGTAGTAGTCACAAAAAGTTTAAACAAGCACAAAGGAAAGGCCAGGGACACAGGATCAATTTAATAGGGGGTAGTAGTGCAGATTATTGATGGGGGACCGGCCCTTGTGAGGGGTACCCTTTGTGAGCTTGTCAAATGATTGTTTTTAATTGCAGCCGCAGCCGCAGCAGCAGCAACAAGCGAGTAGTAGTAGCAGTAGCAGTAGCAGCAGCAGCAGCAGGAGGCGGAGGAGGAGTAGTAGTAGTAGTAGTAGCAGCAGTAGCAGTAGCAGTAGCAGTAGCAGTAGGAGTAGGAGTAGGAGTAGGAGGAGTAGTAGTAGTAGTAGCAGCAGCAGCAGTAGCAGTAGCAGTAGCAGTAGCAGTAGCAGCAGCAGCAGCAGTAGCAGTAGCAGTAGCAGTAGTAGTAGTAGTAGTCGTCGTAGTCGTAGTAGTACGAAAAATTGACCTGGTTGTGGGCTCGGATTAACTGGGGGGGATTGTTGGTAGAAAACTAGACCATAGGGGGGGAAATCAACAGCCAATAATACTTTTAATTTGGGCAATTTCCGGCGGCTTTGTTGGCTCGGGTTAACTAGGGGGGGACAGAAGTCACGCAGATTCGATCTTCATCTGAATTTGTGAGAACGATTTCAATCTACCCCTTGGAAAGCAGGCTTCGATGATCGTTTCCAAACAAGCGCCCGTTGTCCGAATGATTCAGACGAACCAAATTAAATTGTTGCCCCAACCTCCTGTGACGTGGCGCTAAACACCGGCAGTATCAATGGGCAGTATCACAAGGCATGACCTTCGCTTTCTGAGAGGAACTTTTCTGAATCGTGAGCGATAGCAGCGTGTCCGAAATCGGGACTTCGTGACAAAGGCAGCTCTCACACGCCTTCCCCATTTCAAACTAACAAGGGTTGAAATATTTGCTGTGTGTCTAAGCAAGTCTGGTCTCAAATCGAATCAACATTTAACATCACTTAACATAACATATGACTATAAGGTTCTTCTGCTGGAAGCAAACGTATATCTTCGTGCGTGGTCCATGGTAGTTCTTTCCCCCCAAATGTGTAGAAAGGGGTTGCTGTTTGTAGTCTGAGGGCCTGGACCCGTGTTCGCTCCGTGTTGTCTCGTGTCTCCGGGCTCGTCGCGTTGACTCCGCATTCGGCGAAAAATTCCTGCTGTTGGGGGAAGCTTTTGGAAGACTTGTAGGGAGGCACGACGTGTCCGATTTGTGTGAATCAAACAATGTGGAGTGTACGCGTGGTGAAATGTGACGGTTGCCAGTGTGATGGCTGATTTTGCTGCGCAGGCACAGCGTTTTGTGAGGTCTGCGCTTTCATTAGGAATGGCGTTCTCAGGGGGTGTTGAACGTCGCTGTACCAGTGGGATTTGCTCTTGAAGCGCTTGCCTTGAAGCTGTCTTTTCGTGATAGGTATCAGCAAAAAGTGCGGCGGGTGAAGCCGCAATGGGCCGAAATCATTCCAAACGCTTGATGTGGCGCAAGCTTTTCTAGGCATGTCAAGGTGTGTCGTAGTCACTTCTTTGTTGCAGGCGAGCACTTTCGGATTTCCGCGGCTGCTTGTTCGATAGCCTTGGGTTGAGAAACTGCATGAAACATATGAAGCTGCTTGGCAGGCAGTGTGATGTGCTCAAGCTGATGAGACTTCCCGCCTCTCATGCGAAATGGTAGGCTTGAAGGCTTGACGCGTTTGGAGGAAATCTTAGACGAAGTGCTCGACGCGATACTTTTGGAAGAGGTCTCGTACGAAATGCTTGTTGTGGAAGACAAGAGCCACATTGGCGAACATGTGCCGAGAAACACAGACAACAAGATAACAAAATAGAAACAATAAGGGTTGGAACAAAAAAAGGTTGGAACAAAAAGAGAGGAAACAGAGGGAAGAAACTTGACAGGTCGCTTTTGGAGGGTACGAAAGGCTGAAGGTCTCGTGCGAATCGCTTGTTTTTTGAGACTTGACGTGTGACTTTTTGGAGGAAGTCTCGTACAAAATTATCATTTTGCAGACGTGTCGCGTCACTTTTTGAGGAAGTCTTGTGCAAAGCACTTGTTTTGAAGACGGCGTCCTCCAAATGTGCTAAACAGCATCCCAAAAAAAAAGTCTCACAAGAGCGCTTGTCCCCCACAAGCATGTCTTACAAGAGTGTCCCACAAAAATGCCCCGCAAGAGTGTCGTACTACAGTGCCCTACAAGAGTGTCCTCCAAAGGTGCTGCGGAAAAGAGTGTCCAACAAGAGTGGTCGAAAATGTCCCCCAGAGTGCCTGACAAGAGTGCCGTGCAAGAGTGTCCCACAAAAGTATCTTACAAGAGTGTCCCTACAACATCCTACAACAGTGTTTTACAAGAGTGTCACACAAGAATGTCCCACAAGAGTGGCCAACAAAGGCTTACAGTTTACAAGAGTTTTTCACACGTGTGGCCTAATGTTGGATCCTGATTAGTAAAGGGGGGGTCCCCCCCCTCAAACAAATAGGGGTCCCTCTATAATAAATTACCACCAAAACAAATCTGGATTCCTGGTGAGGGATCTTTTGTAATTGATTGTAGTATTCATTATCCTTTTGCTTTGCAGCCTCAGATCTTCAGCTCAAGAGAAGCCCCAAGCTTTCAGCTTCCTCAGCTTCCATGGCTTCCTAAGTAGAGGAAGATTCCATGAGCAATTTTCCAGTGGAAAAAACTTTTCACAATTGAGGACCCCAAAACGAATTTATTATTGAGGATCAGGTGCCTTCCTGGTCTACTACCTTGAAATTTTGTTTAGGAGCAATGTTTTATAAAGGGTTTAATTGGGGAATTGGT